AAACAGTTTACTTCTCATCCAGACAATGCTGAGATGCTTTTGTTTAAGAACATGGCTGTTATCATGAGCAGAGCAAACAAGCTCAAATCCTGTCCTCCGTAGATAGAACGATCACATATGAATCATAGATGGATGTACAGTATGACCTCGCATCACACTTTGAACATTAACAATCACAGAAGAAATCCAGAGAAACCAGAACTGTTTTACTATATCACTGAGATACTATTTATTAATATTTTGAAGTAGTTTTTTATTTTTATATTATGTTTTTTGTTGAAGTTTTAGTAATTTAGTTTGTTTAGTAAGTTTATTTTATTTCAAGTAACAAAATGTTAGTATTATTTAGATACTATTATAGTTTTATGGATGTTTTGCATAAAATCATTTTTTATTGTTTTTTTTAAAATATGTTTATTAATTTTTATTTCAGTTTTAGTAATTTTTAAAGATAATAAAAATGAGAAATGTTGCCTTAGCAACTAGATGAAATAAACAAAATTTGTTTTTTTATATTTTATTTTATTTCAGTTAAAGTTTATTTTATTTCAAGTAAGAAAAACAAAATTGTTTTTTAATGGTTTAACATTTTTAATTGGTTTAAAATGTTAAAGTTTTTAGATTTAGCTTGGGTTCACTATAATAACCCTGATTCACACGATTGATACCTGATTTATTCAACATTTTACTCCTAAAAACATGGTGAAAATGTGTTTGTTTTCTGTCTGCTGACAGTATTTTCTGATTTATGATAAAAAGAGAAATCCAGAATCCCCTCTGGAAAAACCTTTAACTCTAATATGAGGACAAAATCAAACAAGAATTATGAATCGATGCTCAGATTTCTGTTCTGGAAATTCATGCAAATTAGTGCATATTTAATTAGATAATGCCTCATTTGCATATATAAACATAACATTTCAGAAAACTTGAAATACAAAAAATATTTGAAATTCTTAATGTAATTCATTAAACTGGTGAATTATGGTTAGCTATATTCGTTACATGTACTCTATTCACCTGTAGTGTCTTAGTGTCCTTAAAAAAAACAAAAACGTTATTTACTTTGTTTTTTACAGATTTCACAAATGAGGACGTCATCAAAAGAACGTTTTGTCAGGTTTAACTCACTTCTGTGAACACATTCGTCTCTAAAGCATGTGTAAGTATTTCCGAACACAAACACTCACGGAGCGGCGACTGCAGGACGAGGCGGTACAGGTTTGCGTGTCGATGCGGCTGCCACTGCACACACATGCTGCTCGTCCGCACCTGATACGTGCTGAGGTTACTCACTCCCAGATACACTAGAGAGACAGACACAGGGCGTCAGAGGCGCTCACACGCACACGCGTGTTCAGTGTGTCGTGCACTCACGTGTTTTGGCGCGTCCACTCAGGGCCTCGCTGGATCCCGTGGTGTAGGTGGCGATGACTTTAACGTTGTACTCCGTCCCGCTCAACAGATTGACAATCAGCATGGTGTTGATGTCGTCGCCCACGAACGTCTCCAGCGCGCGGCTGGCCGCTGTCAGAGGTCAGAGGTCAGAGGTCAGCGTGTGTGTGTGTGTGTGTGTGTGTGTGTGTGATGAGGCACTCGGGTACCTGAGGTGGGCTGGTAGACGATCCTGTAACCCATGGTGGGCGACGGCGGCGCGTCCCAGCTGATGCGGAAGCGGTTGTACCACTCCTCAGACACACGGAGGTTACTGGGAGCAGAGAGAGGCACTGCAGAGGAAGAGACCCTGACTGGGGTTTCAGTTCACAACTGATCAGTCCCTCCCTGTGAAACACAACTGGCATGTACGCACTCGTTTGTTTCATTAAAACATTCTAGTGAGACAGGAAACGGGTAGCTGACATTGTCTCTGAGGGTGTACAACTTTCATTTGTCCATTAGGACTTCATATCAATAAATGTCTAGTGTGTTTTATAACTGTACAGCATGCTTTCCATGTCTGTTGTCCCCCAATGTTTCAAAACATCCACCACTGTGCCCTTCATCAGTTAGTGCTTTGAGAACCTCATCAGAGATCACTTCTGTTCTGTTCTGCCGGCATCTCTCGACCCACTGCAGTTCGCCTACCGCAACAACCGCTCCACTGACCACGCAATTGCCTTCACCCTGCACACTGCACTTTCCCATCTGGACAAGAGGAACACCTATGTGAGAATGCTGTTTGTTGACTACAGCTCAGCGTTTAATACCATAGTGCCCCCTAAGCTTGTGGTGAAACTCCGGGCTCTGGGTCTGAATAGATCCTGGACTAGAGTTGGCAGCAATATCTCCTCCCCACTGACCCTCAACACCGGTGCCCCACAGGGCTATGTTCTCAGTCCTCTCCTGTTCTCCTTGAAGGGTCAACAGCTTCAAGTTCCTTGGTGTCCAGGACCTCACCTGGTCTCCTCACACACAGTCAGTGGTGAAGAAGGCCCACCAGCGTCTCTTCTTCCTCAGGCAACAGAAGAAATTTGGTCTGAGCCCAAAAATTCTAAAACAATTCTACAGCTGTCCGGCTGGTACGGGAACAGCATCACTCTCAACCGGAAAGCCCAGCACATCGTCGGAGGTGAGCTTCCCTTCCTCCAGGACATCTACACCCAGCGATGTGTGAGGAAAGCATGGAAGATCATCAGAGACTCCTGCCACCCGAGCTACGAACTGCTCTCACTGCTACCATCAGGCAGACGATACCACAGCATCAGGACCCACACCAGCAGACTGCGAGACTGCTGAACTCCAGCCAATAAAACAACACAACACACCTCATATACCCTTACACTGCACTTTATTACCAGACTAGTTACACTGACTCTAAGTGACAGCACTCGACGCAGGCTACATCATCTCTCTTCAGCACTCTGACGAGCTATCTGCACTAAACATCACAGCGCATTAACTGCTCTCTATAACAACATCCACATTTACCTCACTGTGTTATTACTGTGAATTATACTGACTATTACTGTCATTACTGCAACTGCATTCGATTGTAACATGAAAACGTCCTGTCTATTCCTTGTGTATACTGTGTATCTTGTGTAAATGTGTATATTGTTATTTAATGTATACTGTCAGTTATCATATGTCGTGTTGTTTATACGGCCCGTTACAGAGAATTGCGGGTACACCCGTTTACACGATGTGTGACAATAAAGAGATTTGATCTGATTTGATTTGATAGTGTTTACAATGTTTGGAGATGTTTCGATTTATTTACCAGATTTTACTAATGTAATAAAACATGACTTCTACACAGATGCGACTTATCTTTGCTTTTTTTTTCTCAATAATGCAATTATGAGCCGGTCATAATTTAGCCTGATCAATTTAGCTTTCTCAAATCAACACTTGACTTACCTACAATAAAATCCAGAGATATAAAACACTTAAAGCATATCACAATGTTAGTTTATTTTCAATTTCTAAAATATTTA